ATGAATGTTGATGCAAATATTCTCAACAAAATAGTAGCAAACTAAATCTAGCAACATATAAAAAACATTCCATCAGGACCAAATTGCATTTATTCCAGTAATGCAAGATCACTCTAATATCTAATAATCAACAAATGTAATATACCATATTATTAGAATAAAAAAAACCCCATGATTTTCTTTATTAGCATGAAAAAATTGACAAAATCCAACACCCATTCATGATGAAAAAAGTACTCAACATAATAAGAACAGAAGAGAACTTCTTTAATCTAATAAACAGCATCAGTGGAACTCACAGCTAACCTGAAAAAAGACTAAATGATTTCTCTCGAATATCAGGAAAAGACAAAGATACCTACTCTGGCCACTTTTATATAACATTATAGTGAACATTCTAGTTAAGATAGTCATTCATGAGAAAGAAATAAAAGTCATCAGATTGGAAAAGAAAACTAAAACTATCTCTGTTTGCAAATGATACGATCTTGCATATAGAAAATCCGAAGGAATCTAGTGGATTCAATTTAAATAATAAATACATTCAGCAATGTTTCAGGATACAAGATCAATATACAAATATCAAATCTACACACCATCAATGAAAAATCCAAAAATGAAATGTAGAAAAGAAAACCATTTAGAATACCCTCAAAGACCTAAAATACTTAGAAATGAATTTAAGAAAAAACGTGCAAGACTTGTACACTAATAAAACATTGTTGAAGCTAAAGATGGTCTAAGTAAATGAAAAGATATGTTCAGAGATTGAAAACCTTAATTTAAAAAATTATTTATTTATTGTTTGAGATGGAGTCTCATTGTGTCGCCCAGGCTGTAGTGCAGTGACACAATCTTGGCTCACAGCAACCCCTGTCTCCCAGGTTCAAGCCATTCTCCTGCCTTAGCCTCCTGAGTAGCTGGGTTTACAGGAGCCTGCCACCACACCTAGCTAGCTTTTGTATTTTTAATAGAGAAGGGGAAAAAACTTAATATTGGTAACAGATATCCCACATAGTTTGTTTGACAGAAGTTCAGTGTTTAAAATACAAAATATACATCATCTTGAAAATGAAATAACAAATATATGTAGGCAAATATATAGGCCAAGAGAAGCTGGAATATGCAAACCCTGTAGCTGACAAGATAAAATTGAAGGAAAAATTTCAAAAGGAATAAAGACAGACTTTATGTACTGGTAAAAGCAATGATTGTTTTCATCAAATAACATCAGTTTAAAATATGTTAACACAGTGACTGAATTCTGGGGAGCAACAGATAAATCCATAATTGCAGTATTAACCCAGATACCTCAGAAATATATAGACCAAATTGATAGAAAACATATAATACAAGGAAAGATACAGAGGATTAGAATAATAACCAGTAATAAGTTATAATGTAGATTGTGGTTAAAAACATTTTTAGGAACTCAGAAGAGGTGGAGAGAGAGAATGTGGAACAGCAAGTATCAGAATAGCTGATAAAACAACAAGCCCAAATGCAAGTAATAGTCAAGTCTTTAATCACTAACTGTGAAGGAATAAGCAAGAATCTCAAACTGGAGGTAGCACTGACCTCATGTTAAATCCACCGTGCCCCGTGAGCATATGCACCAATTACGGGTCAGGTAGATTATTACTAACGTAATGGCTATCTCACTGTTGAGGAAGCTCTGAGCAAAGACTTTTGCAGTTTTATAGACCTGGGGGTTGGGGTGAGGTCTGGGGAAAGGTTAGAAGTGGAAAATGCCTGAGTGCTGAATGAGTCTGAATGCAGAAAAGTGTCTTCAAGATCCTCCAACAAGGAGAATTCCAAATGGAGGGCCTGGACTAGGAATGCAGATGAGCATGAGAGCATGGCTGGCCAGGGAGCTGAGTTTTTGAATGCAACTCCCTTCAGAGACTGCAGTGCACTGGCCCTGTAGCCAGTCTGGTGTGGGGAGGGCAGCTTTCCCTCAGGAGGCCTGCCAGCTAAAGCCTTTATAATGGCTTGTGGTTGTACCTGAAAAATCACAAAAAATTTTTGACCATGGGCTGAAACTCTTGAACATACAATTCAAGGCCAAACTGAACCCTGCCACTTAGTTCTGTCACTGACTAGACATGAGACCTTGAGCAAGTTATTTAACAATTCTATGCATGAGTTTTTCTATTTGTTGAATGGCAATACGCTTGGTAAAGGAAGTATACTGATATATTTTATCTACAGAAAGAATATCAGACACATAGTGTTATAAATTTGTTAGCACTTGTTTAGATGTATACATAGGCACAAACACACATGTGTCCATGCATATATATATTATGAATATATCTGATGTACATATATATTATTATACATTTTTATTGTATATGTGTTTTTATATATACACTCTTACACAAACAAATGATTTCTGTACCCAACAAATGCACATATACATTCTTTCAGATTTAAATGAAATATTTACAAAATTTGGCCGTTTGATATGCTGCACTTCATCTCTGTGTCAGTTCACTTCCCATTGGCTAGAATTCAGTCACATGGTGCAAACAGAATGATTTTGAAGTGCATTCTAGCTGTGTAACTAGAGATAGAAGGAACCCATTTTTGAACAGCTAGCATCTCTTCTGTAGTCTGCCTCTTTCTAGTTACCAACTACTATGCATACCTTTTTTCAACACATACATTTACTCTTTCACCAAAAGAAAAAATAGAAAATTTCACTAGTTACGCGTTTCAAAGTCCAGAATTTTAGAGGACATACCCTCCTCCCCATCAAGAATGAGTATGTATATTTCTGGTCTGCTAACATAAAAACCAGAAAGATGGTTATTTGTTGCTATCCTCTTACACGATACACAATAGCAGAGCCAGGAATAGGCTATTACAATAAAAACTCATACTAAGAAAAAAGGAAGAAATGGAAACATTATAGCCATTGATTGAGAGCAACACTGCTGTTTCGCTGGGCTAGTATTATAAAAACCTCCACCCTAACAGTACTGGAAGTTTTAAAAATTAGATCTTAGATCTGTTTTTTGGGAGGAACACCTGGCTCCACTATCTGGGAGGTTTTCTCTTATCTTTTGACCTGGTGGACAAACGTAAGAACACTGGAGATTATGTTCCCTTTGAAGGGTGAGGAGTGTGGCACAATTTCTTTTGGTTTGAGAGTTCAATAAGCCAAAACTGTTTTTAGAGCATAATATTAGGTATTTCAGTGGTATAGATGCTTCAAAAACATAACAGAATTTTTATCTATTTGTTTTCAGTATCTTCTATGAGGCAGCAACCAAAGCCAAGGTTATGTTGTAGACGTTGTTTTTAAGTCGTTTATTATTTCTGTGCTTATTCCTTGTGCCCATCTCTCTCTTCATGGAGGCTACCTTAAGGCCTTCTAAAAAAGTAGGCTTGGATGAGGAGGCCAAACTTTTCATCAGACCTTTGCCATAGGGTTAAGCGCCTTTATTTACTGAGATGACTTTCAAGTCCTTTCTTGCTACATGGGATGAGGAAGTACTGGGCTTTTTATAACCATGTCCCACTTTTCTAGAGCCTCTCTATTCCCTTTCTTTTATACTTGAAAACTGATCAACCTGAATCAGTTAATAATATATTGCTACAAACAAGCAGCACTAAGCAAACAAAACACAATAACGTTCTGGCTCTTTCCAGCTACTTTCTATGAAGTAGCAAGTTTTCGAGGCACTTGATCTGCCTTATAAATTATTGCAGGCAACTAATAAATGTATTACCACTAAAATAAACAAAAAAAGAAAACCCTCTATCTTTACAGCCTGTGATAGTATTTCCTTGCCACCTCCTGTTTGGCTGCTAAGTCAATGGCACATATTTTAGGTTTTGGTTATGATATCATGCCATTTCTAATACGAATTATTTGTTATTGCATCTGAAGAACAAATTTGTAAATGACATTGTGTAGGGAGCCAGTTTTCTCAAAACTATTTCTCAAGACTGTATACTAAGCTAGTATTTTTAAACTTATTTTTTGCTACAACCCAAAACAAAAAACACAATTTATATCATTCAATAAACAGATACAGACATAAACCTGTATGCATACACATGGATACCAGATGGGCCAACACTATGTCATATCTAAACTGGGACTATTACTGTCAAACCCATATGTGTGGTATGGGTATCTGAAATTCCCTTTATGAGGCTAAATTGATTTTTCACATGAATTTTTAAAAATTTGCTTGAAAACTGCTGAGTATTTTGTATTTTGGTATTTTTAGTAGAGACAGGGTTTCACCATGTTGGCCAGGATGGTCTTGATCTCCTGACCTCTTGATCCACCTGCCTCAGCCTCCCAAAGTGCTGGGATTACAGGCGTGAGCCACCACGCCCAGCTAACTGCTGAGTATTTTGAAATGGTATTTATGACAGCTAGGTTAGTCCTTTGAGACATTAGATTGATAGGAATTTTATATCCTGATTTAGTGTTACATTTATTAAAGAGTTTTAATGATTAAAAATAAATAATAAATACCATGTATTATATGATAATCATGTTTCATTTAAAAGTACATATGTATCTTTTCACTTATGATTTATCCCCTTTAGTGTTAAAGTATATTTCCATTTGATCTAACTTTAATAGTACTTAAAAGAATTAAGAATAAACAGTGAAAACAACATTAATCTTTTTAATATCTGAAAGAGGTCTTTATTATTATAATAATAACTACTGATAAGAGATGCAACTTTACAATCGGAGTACTGAGTTTTCTTTTTAAAAAGAATGATAAAGGCATTGTGTAATTTCCTAAAGTTTAAAGTACTGTGAAAGTGCATCTTAATGTTGGAAGGGTAACAAATCCTGAAGTTGATTAGTAAGACAAAATATAATAGCATCACAGTTCTTTTTTAAAAACCCCTAACTACAAAGAAAATACAAATTTGGAAATTTAAAAAATAAGAATCTGTTTGTTTCTTTGCATTTCTGCCATACTCTCTGAATTTGTAATTTTTTTTTTTTTTTTTTTTTTGAGGCCCATTCACAGGACGCCATATGAACATAAAACTGTGTGGAAGTACCTGAAAACAATTCCAAATTTAACCTCTCAGCTAAATGATAAGCATCTGAAAACACTTAGTAAGACCGTCTTTTCCGAAACCTGGTTGAAAGGCAGCACAGGTAATAGACTAATGTGGGAAAAATTTGGCGAGATAAAATGCAGGCCACTATTTTGAGTTCTTTATCATTATTATGCTTAAAATTTCACTTGACAATTTCAGTTGACGTGGTAAAAATACACTATTTGGGTGTATTTCATTTGTAAGTTTATAAGTAGTGAAATGAATAACATCTCACATTTTAGTACATAGAGTTTAAGATATACACTAGTGTTTCTCTGCCTGGAGAATGAATCAGAATTACTCAGTGATCACATTGAGACCCATATTGTTAGGTTTAAACATCAGAATTTCTGGTTCAGTAGGTATAGGATGAGGCCTCAATTTCGTTTATAATACCTCAGGTAATGCCACTAGTGCAGGAACCACACTTTTGGAACCAATATCTGAGATACACATTTAGTAACAATATAGTGTTGATTTTCATAGGTGAGACAGCAGACGATCAATATGATTATTTGACTGAGTCAGGTACTAATCCAGATACAGGGAAAAAAGCCTCTCTGGATAGATTTTCATTTCCCAATTTTAGTTTTTGGTCCCTTCACGAAGGACTTAGTGGATATATTAATAGACTTGTTATATTTTAATTATGGGGGTAGGCATATAATTTAATACATTCTTTGTGTCAGAAGCATCCCTTTTTGTTCCTCAGAAAAACAAACGAAGGAAGATATTGCTATTATTATTCTCCACAGATGAGGACCCCTGAGGCACAACACAAATATCACACAGAGTATTCTTGCTTAGAATCGAGTTTCAAACACACTTCAACCAATTCTAAACTTGTTCTCTGTGTATTATGTCACTGTTAGTACAAACTGGTTTATGAAGATCATGACATTTAAAACCTAACTGGAATTTTAAAGAATATATGTCTATTGAAATAATTTACATATTTCCAGCATTTTCCCTCAATGATCTTCTCTCATAATTAGTTCTATTTAATCTGTGATCAAGCAATGAAAAATAAATCAAAGGAATTTTAAAGGGGATGAAATAATTTTGAAAGGGAATAAAGGACAAACATTCAACATCACTTTGCCATTAGATTGAGGATAGTAATTAAAAATGAATTTGTTTTATAAATCACTGAAAACATATTTATAATGGTAAAAAATATGGGAACAACCTAAATGTCCTTGAATAGAAGATTGGCTACACATATTTTGATATATGTATTCTATAGAATTCTAAACAGTGATTAAAAAGAATGAGCTAGATTTATATATATTGTTATAGAAACATTAAAGACAGTAAATAGAATAATTGCAAATTATATTAACACATTTATGAAAAAGTCTAAATTTATACACACACACACATATATACATATATCTTTTTTAAACTATACAAGTGGGTCCAGAAGGACATTCCAAAAATACATATTTTTAAAAATTGTTGCCTTAGTAGAGGGGAGTGAAATTGAGGGGTGATAAAGGGCTAAAATTAACTTTCTCCTACATATATTTGAGTTCGTTTTATTCTCTCACAGTAAATGTTCATTTGTTAATATTTGTAATTATACTTTTTTTCAAACATTTTCTAAAATTAAAATTAGAAACAAATGTTTAATTCTGATGGCACCTTAACTCAGGTAATTGATGATTAAAATATGAATTTTCAATCTTTCACAAGTGTCAGGCATTCCAACTTGCATTTCAATAGGGTGTACTTTCAACACTCAAAAATTAGGAGTCTCTGTGTTTACACCTACCTGTGTCAAAATCCCTCTCAAGTTTTTAAAGCATTTAGTTCCGACAGCTCAGATCTGTTTCACTACCAAAGAAGTCAACTCATTAAATACCTGACCTTTGTAGATTTCTTTGTTCATCCAATTTAATAAAAAGGCCCAACTAGGTGTCTGTCTCTCTCCTTTTTCTTTATTCATGTATGTGTTTCCCTCCCTCTGCTGTTATTTAAACTATTGCCTCTAGTAGCCCCTCATCACCAGGCTGCTGACTTTCAATCTGCTACTGGGGCTTCCATTTCTCTGGTGCAATTCCACACAGCTGTTTGTACCTTCTGGTCTCTTTTCTGGCCACTAGTTCTTAAAGCCTCATTAAGAAAGCTTCCTAAACTTACCATTATTCACTAAACCTCTTGCTCATTCAGTTTTTATAAACAATCAAACAGTAACAGGAAAACAATATTATACTTCTAAGTAGTGAATAAAACACATTATGTGTCTCTAAGTTAAAATGCTACAAAAATACGATTACTATATTATTATTTACTGACTATATTAATATTACTATATATGAGTACTTATGTTAAAATTACTGTATGTAATGTATTTTACAGATAGTCATCTCTCCATATACATGTGTAGGTAGATATAGTTTACTGAAGTCAAATGGAAGAATTTTTCATTAGATTACATTTTTATGGCCTGAACTAGGGACATTTTTATGATTGATAACCTAAAGCTCATGAAAACTAAAAGAACTGCCTGTTTAGTTACAACCTGTAACAATATCCCAGATCAAACTTTTATTATCTAGCTTTATGTTAATATTAAAACACATTTCTATAAAATATGTTTTTCTCTTTTATATCTATGTCACCTTTACTGTTTTCTTTGTGTAGTCCTTTGTCTTACAGTATTATTTCCCTTCTATTTCTTTCATTTTATTTCATTCTGAACCCACTTTGGTGAGGTTGTATCTCAAAAACTCCAAAAGTCCTCATTTTCATTAAATTTTGTATTTATTTTTAATGCTGAAAATATTTTTATGTTACTAAACTTCTAACATTTCTTTAACCTGCATATATTTTATTTTCTGTTGTGGTTTATATTTTATTTAACAACTAAAAATATGGTAGCTAAATCTCATGAAATATGTAGTGGGCGTCTTTTCTAGACATAAATTAACCATAATTCAAATAATTTATTCTTATAATAGAAGAAATAAAATCTTTAGCTGAGATTTAGTATAAATCTAATCTTTATGTAGACTGATCAAGAAAAAAAGGAGATCCAAGAGAAACCCAGGAAAGGAAGGCTTCACTGCTGAATTTTACCAAACATTTTAAAAAGAATTAATATCAATTATTCTTACATTCTTCCAAAAATTGAATAGGAGGGTATACTCCCAGACTAATTTTATGAGGCCAGCATTACCCTGACACTAAAGGCAGACAAGATAAATGAATTCAGTAAAATTGCAGGATACAAAATCAACATACAAAAATTAGTAGTGTTTCTCTAGTAATAAAATATTCAAAGAGGAAAATAAGCAAACAATTCTATTTACCAATAACAACAAAAAATCTAACCAAGGAAGTGAAAGACCTGCAAACTGTAAAGTAGAAAATATTGATAAAAGAAATTGAGAAAAATAGTAATAAATAGAAAGCTGTCCTTTCTATGCTCATGGGTTGAAAAAAATAATATTGTTAAAATGCTCATACTATTCAAAGTGATCTATAGATTCAGTGCCTTCCCTATCAAAATTTCATGACATTTTTCACAGAAATAGAAAAGCAATTCTTAAATTCATATGGAACCACAAAAGAACCCAAATGGCCAAAACAATTTTGAGCAAAAAGAACAAAGCTAGAGGCATCACACTCTCTGATTTCAAAATACATTGAAAAGTGATTATAATAAAAACGCAAGGCAATGGCATAAAAACAAATATGTTGATATGGTAAGGCTTTGTGTCCCCATCCAAATCTTATCTTGAATTGTATTGCCCATAATCCCCCTAAAACCCACATGCTCAGGGAGAAACCAAGTGGAGGTAGTTGAATCATGAGGGCAGTCACTCCCATGCAGTTCTCATGATACTGAGTGAGTTCTCATAGGATCTGACGGTTTTATAAGGCGCTGTTCCCACTTTGCTTGATTTTTGACAAAGGTGCTAAAAACACTCAGTGGAGAAAGGACAGTCTCTTTAATAAATGGTGTTGGAGATAAATGGTGTTTGAATTTATAAGTGATGACTTACAGTATCTGTAGAAGAAATTTCTAAGCAACAAAGTGATCAGGATATGGCCTGGCTATTTCTAACAACCTTGCTAGACTTCAGATTTGCTTGAGGCCTGTAGCCTCTTTCTTTTGGTCAATTTCTCCCTTTTGGAATGGGAATGTTTTTCCAATGCCTTTTTCCCCATTGTATCTTGGAAGTAAATAGTATGTTTTGATTTTATAGGCTCATAGGTGGGAGGAGTATGGATTCAAACTCAGATAAGACCTTGGACTTGGGACTTTTGAGTTAATGCTGGAGCAAGTTAAGACTTTTGGGAATTATTGAGATGGGATAATTGTATTTTAGAATGTGAGAAGGATATGAGATTTGGGGGCCAGGGGCAGAATGATATAATTTGGACATCCCCTCCAAATCTCATGTTGAGATATAATTCCTAGTGTTGGAGATGTGGCCTGGTGCAAGGTTTCTGGTTCTTGGGGGTGGATCCCTTGTAACTTGGTACTGTCCTCATGATAATGAGTGAATTCTCACAAGATCTGGTTGTTTAAATGTGTATGACACCCTCCCTTATTCTCTCTCCTGCTCCTTCTCTCTCCATGTGATGCGTCTGCTTCCATTTTACCTTCTACTATGAGTAAAACCTCCTTGAGGCTTTCCCTGAAGCTGAGAGGATGCCAGCACCCACCATGCTCATGCAGCCTGCAGAGCCATGGCCAATTAAACATCTTTTCTTTACAAATGACCCAGTATCATGTGTTTCTTTATAGCAATGCATGAATGACCTAACACATGCTGTATTATAGAAACTCATAACTTAGATATAATGAACAAGTTCAGATACAAACTATCATAGTTGACTCAAAAGAAGGATAACTTGAAGGATAACTAAAATAATGTATTAAATTGGTAATTTAAAATATTCTCACAAAGAAAATCCCTGACCCACATGGATTCATAATGAAGTCTGTCAAGTATTTAAAGGAGACTTTATAGCACACGTATTGAACAGTTAAGAATAAAAGTTAATTTATAAAAATGCAATTAAGAAATTCAATTCAATTTGCCA